TTTGGCCTTTCTTTCCCCTGCTGTCTTCCCCCTCCCTTACTTGCTTCACCTTTTGTCTTGCTAGTTTCTACCTATTTACAGTCTCACTGACATCCTGCCACACTTAGCTTCTCTCATTCCTTGGAGTCTCAGACTGGCAGAGACTCCCTATGCCTGAAGAAGGGTGACTGTGCTTTAACGCTTGCTAAGAACTTTCCTCCAGCTACTCAGTTGGTCTAATACAAGATACCACATCTACTCAAAGAACCTTGCCTGCCTATGTCCTTAGACCAACAGGGCTACAACCAAAAACCCAGCTAAAGGACTTCAGGTTACTTGAACTTAGACAGGTGTAACTGGGCACATCTGGGCCTTGGGCACTGGCAGTGCAAAAAAACCCAGCCACAACTGTTTGGTGGTGGCAGTGGTCAGACCAGCAGCACAGTAGCTGCTATTTTTGGACCTCCCCTCTTTCTTTCCCTCCCCCACCAAATCAGTGCCCAGGGCTGTTGCCCTGGTCCCCCCCCCCGCCTTATTTTACTAGACCCAGAGAACACTTTTCTAACTTTGAATGCTGACTACTGAGTTTTGGCTTTATTACTCTAACCTCCTTTCTTCTGCAGTACCTGCTGCTCTGTAATTTACCATGTGAAATTTCAGAGGGCTTTTCATCCTTATCACGGTGGAAGGCAAGAGAGCATAATCTAAAGTAGGCATTTTGTGTAAAGATGGTGATTTTTGGCAATTTCAGACAATGCAGATGAAAGGCCCTGCTAAATGTATTGATTGCCTTTACAACATTCTCACACTCATGATCTAGGTTTGGTTTTGTTTCTGTTAAAAGATGGCTAATGATTCTTTTGCACCAAACAGGTGTTGTCACATAGTACACTTATATAGGAACTCAACTTTGACTAGAAAGTGAAGCCCACACCTATCTGTGTGGTTTCCTTTCAACAATTCAAAAGGTAGCAAAAAGAAAATCAAGTAGGGGTGGAAAGACACGTTCAGATAACTCCATAACTCCAACTGTTCACCCCAAATGTAACTAAGATTTTCCTTTCTGTATGCTTTTGTACTTCTCTCCTCACTCACTAGGGTAATTAGTTTTTATACTGGTGTAACCAAAGAATGGGCATATGGTGAACCACACTGATCTAGCTTACTTGAATCTGGTGCAGATTTATTTTGGGAAAAATTAGAGATATACCATGGTATCTGTTATATCTGCAGCTTTTCATTAATAGCCTTTGCTCAATGAACACAAACTGTTACTTGCCCCCTGACATCTAGGGGTAAGGTGCCTTGATAATGCCTAGTGCAAACAGCTACCCAGGGAGAGCTGATTGTTGCTGTACTAAAGTGATGGAAATGACATCTATGTAAATATGTTGTTTGTCCAGGCCTCAGCCCTGTGAGTTTAGATTTGATTTGTTTAGTACTTGCTGTAGGAGCAGGGTCCCAGTGTCTGAGCTCTTGTAACACCCTCTGTAAGTACATGTTCACTCCACCCTTCTCATATAGTTGGATTCTGTACTCGATCAAGCACAAGTTATGGGCATAAAAGATGGAAGCAAACAAGTAGTCTGGTAAGGTAAGGAATGAAACTAATTTAACGAAAGAAGGCTTATTTCATAGAGAATTAAGGTTGGAAGGGACCTCCAGAGAACATCTAGTCCAACCTGGAATCAAACTGGCAACCTTGGCTTTATTAACACCACACTCTAACCAGCTGAGCATTTGAAGAATGAAGAAAACAATTTTCCCAAAAGTTTTACTTCTGACAAAACAGCACATGAATAAACACTGAGTCTTCCAATGGAACCTTACAGCCAGGCAGATTTCAAAACCTGCTTGCCTTAGAAACTTGCCTGACTTCCCGCCAGCTTGCTTGTCCAGCTCCACAGCAGCCTGATAGGGGCTACAGCCTCAGAGCAGCTCCAGTGGACAGGCTGCCTTAGGTACAGGGATTCCAAAGCTTCTACATTCGAGCCAGCTGCTCCCTTCAGAGCCAGCTGGCCTGACAATGCTGGAGACTGCATGAGAAGCCTGACAACGCTGGAGACTCTCGGCATAAGCTGCTGGTTTCATGGAGCTGGAAGCTGTTCTTCATTTAAGATAGTTTTAAGGAATTTTTAGTATAATTTATTATGTAACTAGGCAGGTGGAACAATAGCATCCTCCTCTGCATAAAAACGTCACTGCTTAAAACAAGAAATGCCAAGCAGAAGTGGCTGGATTTTTCTGCTGTATTTTTTCCTTGAGTTAGTTTGTGTGTTTGTGAAAGAAACAGCATCAAAGAACACAGAAAGAGAAGAAAGTACCAGGGACAGAGACGGAAGTACTTGGGTATGAGATGAAAAGCAGGAAGACTTTTTACATAAAAGGCTGGGTGACAAGAGGTTGGGAACTGGAAACACAGAACCTGTTCTCAGTTTGATTCTTTCTATATTCAGGGAAACAGAACACTGTATATTCTTTGCAAATAAAGCTGGGGAAATACCATAACCACGATGGTGGCAGGGGAAATACCCTGACCTAGGTAATGCAATTAAAATGGCAGTGTGTGGTGGAGGGTTGCACACTTGTCTGCTTGCAGACATGACTCCGTATGAAAGCCTCATGGTTAGTTTCCCACTGGCCAGCTTCCAGTAGGAGGATCTTGGCTACACATTGATTTTATGGAAATGGGAGACTCCTCCCTAGCTTGCTTCTAGGGCCATAAGGCCAAGGGCAAGCCAAACTTGGGAGCATCCAAACCCCAAGGTTCTGCGCTTGGGCCTGCATGTAGGATGCCCACCAAAGGATTTGGAAGCATCTGAAGCCCCAGGTGGGGCTGGAGGAAGTTTGCCGGCAGTAGGGCCACATTTGGTCCTTGAATGGATTTGGAATTGATTTGGCTGATTTGACTTGGAACACAACACATTTTCCTTAAAAAATAATTTTTTGCATAAAAGATACGACGACAAGTGAAAGCACTGGAATGGGGATGGGTACATGTAACAAGACTGAAATAGTTTAACTGTCAATGTGTGTTTTGGTCTGTCAAGTGAACCACAGTGTTCACTTGATGGTTTGTTAGAGGTACAGTTATATTTTTTTGCAAATAAAGAAAGCATAAAAGATACTCATCTCTATCACCTGCTTTTTCTTCCTTACAGAAGCAACCTGCAAGGCTCGCAATTTTTTGCTAACTGCTTGAATCAACCTTTCACCTAATTCTACACTTTGGTCATCCTCCCATCGCACACAATGTCTCCTTCACCTGCTGCAGGAAGGCAAGGTGGTGTATACAGGTTTCCCTTGCCAACCGCTGGGGTTAGGTTCCTGAAAGTTCCCATAGCTGGCAAAACAGTGGTTGGCAAGACAAAAGGCTTATGGGAAAAATGGCAGGTGATGGGCTGATGTGTGGCCAATGAAAACTGTGGTTACTCAAACCTGTATACCGTGGTAGCCAAAATGGTATATATAATATTAAGTGTGGATATTCGAAACCATGAACAACATGTGCTCCCGGTGGCTGCGGGGGCATGGTGACGGTGGGAGCGCAGTGGCAGGAGCATGGCGGTGGTAAGTGGGAGCTCCTGCACACGCCACCAGCACTGTCGGTGGCAGGGGGGATGGCAAGTGGCAACCAGGGGTCAGTGACCGCCTGCAGACACTGCTGGCAGCGGTGATCGCGGATCTCCTGCAGACGCTGCTGGTGGTGAATGGCCTTTTTGTATGGGGTGCACTGCCACGTGCAGGGGGTGCACGTGCACCTGCATGCACCCCCTATGTGTCGCCCCTGTTCAAAACTGGCTGGCGAGGGAAACCTGTATAATCTGCTGTGTTGCAGAAAGAGACCCCTGCTGCTGGGGGAGAACCTGCGCACCAGGGCCCTGGCCAAGCGGCAGTGGCTGGAGCACCTGTCCCTGCCGAAGGCAGTGCAGGACTTGTTGTGCTGCGGGACAGATCCGCTTTGAGTACTCCAGTACTGCAAGGATCCTCCTGCAGGG